GCCCCAGGTGCCAGTGCGTCTGCTGCCCCAGGTGCCAGTCCGTCTGCTGCCCCACGTGCTGGTGAGTCTGCTCTCTCTGGTACTACGTCGGCTCAGGCCTTCCACACCTTCACCCTTGACTCGGGTGCGTCCCGCTCCTTTCGAGACCGCACCACTCTTACGCCGCTCAGTCGACCGGTTGCAGTCTCCCTGGCAGACCCCTCTAGGGGTCCTATCCTTGCTAGCTTCTCCACTGTCTTACCGTGCCCAGCAGCCCCCTCTGGCACTCTATCAAGTCTCTACCTCCCCTCGTTCTCTACGAACTTGGTGAGTGGAGCGGACCTACAGGACAGGGGGGTTGACCAGTTCACTCCTGCGAGTCAGCGAGTGACCCACTGCACGTGTGCTCGGACAAGCCGACACTTGGCCACATTCACCCGTCGGCTAGGGTCGAGCCTGTACACCCTTACTACTGAGTCTCCTCCGGCTGTTGAGTCTGCTCACGTAGCTGCGTCGAGTCAAGTGTTTGCTGCAGCGTCCAGGTCTGGTCCTGAGTCTGCTCCCTGCTCGTGTCGTCTCCTGTCCCACCAGACTCTCTTTTGGTTCCACCGCCTTGGTCACCCCTCCTTGCCTCGTCTCCGCGGCATGGCCTCCCGTGTCCTTGTCTCTGGTCTCCCTCAGTCTCTCCCTCCCCTACCTCCGAGGCCTGGCCCTACCTGCGTCCCCTGCGTTGAGGGGCGACAACGCGCTGCCCCTCACTTCTCAGAGTTTTCTCCGACAGAGGCTCCGCTGCAGACTCTCCACATGGACGTGTGGGGCCCAGCTCGCGTCATTGGGCAGGGGCGCGAGCGGTACTTCCTGCTGGTGGTTGACAACTACTCGCGTTACACCACAGTCTTCCCCTTGCGCAGCAAGGGTGACATCACTGAGGTGTTGATCGACTGGATCCGCGCAGCTCGTCTCCAGTCAGAGAGAGTTTCGGCTCGGACTTTCCTGTTCTGCGTCTGCACTCGGACAGAGGCGGAGAGTTTTCCTTTGCCTGTCTTGGAGCCTTCTGTCGTGCACAGGGCATCCGCCAGACCTTCACGCTTCCGGCCTCTCCACAGAAAAATGGGATTGCTGAGCACCGCATTGGCATGGTCATGGACGTCGCTCGTACGTCCATGATGCATGCGGCTGCCCCCCATTTTCTGTGGCCGTTTGCGGTTCAGTGTGCCGAGCATCAGCTCAACCTTGAGCCCCGGGTCTCCTTGCTAGAGACCTCCCCCGCCTTGCGGTGGACGGGGATGGTTTGCGATGCGTCTGCGTTTCGGGTCTGGGGATCTCGGGCGTTTGTCCGCGACTCGTCTGCGAACAAGCTGTCCCGCCGTGCTGTTCCCTGCGTCTTCCTTGGCTTCCCCCCTGACGCGCCTGGCTGGCAGTTTTACCACCCCACCTCACGCCGTGTTCTGTCCTCCCAGGACGTCACCTTTGACGAGTCGGTACCTCACTACCGTCTCTTCCCCTACCGCACTACGCTTCTCCCCCAGCCGTCGCTCTTCCTTGCGCCAGGTCCTCCCCGGGTAGACCCCCTCCCCCCTTAGTGTCCTGCCTCGTCAGGTGTGTCCCAGGTAGACGCAGTCAAGCCTGTCAAGGTAGTTGTTGACTCTGGTGCTGCTAGAGGTGCTAAGCCTGCGGGTGCCGGGTCTGGGGGTGCTGACACAAGGGGTGCTGAGACTTGGGGTGCTGAGTCTGGGGGTGCTGAGCCTGGGGGTGCTGGGTCTGGGGGTGCGGAGCCTAGAGGTGCGGAGCCTGGGGGTGCCGAGCCTGGGGGCGCTGGGTCTGCTCGTGTGGCCCCAGTCTGTACTTCGTCGAGGCGGGAACCGCTCTCTCCACAGGAGCTGCGCGAGTGGTTTGCCCGCAGCTGGAGACGTGCTGCTGAGACTGGGGGTGCTGCTGGGGCTACTGGAGTTGGTCCTGCTGAAGCTGCTGACGGTACTGGTGCTACTGGAGCTGGAGGTGCTAGGGGTGTTGGCGCTGGTGTTTCTACTGGCGCTGGTGCGTCTGGGGGTGCTGATGCGGTTGCAGGAGCTGACGGTCCTACTGAAGTTTGTGCTGCTGGAGCTGGAGCTACTGGGGGTGTTGGCGCTGGTGGTGCTGCTAGTGCTGGTGCTTCTGAGGGTGCTGGAGTTGGCGCTGGTGGAGCTGGAGGTGCTGCTGGCGTTGGTGCTGCCGCTGGGGTTACTAGTGCCATCCTTGCTGGTTCTGGAGGCGCTGCGCGGCCGAGGCCGTACTTCGTTCCGCTCCTGAAGAAGGTTCTTGGTCTCCCGCCCTCTCCTGGTCCAGCTCCTCCCTTAGAGTGTCCACAGCCTGTCCAGTCGCAGTCACAGTTACACCCCGCCTCCCCTCTACCTGCTCCTTCTGCCTACACTGGTCCTACTAGAGGTCTTGATGAGCGTCGTGAGCCTGCGTCTCGTCCTACATCGCATGTTCGTACTGCTCGCACTAGTCATAGTGCTGCGCGTCCGCGTCCTCCTGCGGTCCCTGGCACACACCACATGGCACTGCGTCCTTCCACTGCTCCTTTGCATGTCCCGTTGCCGTCTCCTCCAAAGTCCTCTCTTCCTTCTCTTGCTGACCTTGAGTCTGACTCCCTTCGTGCTGCTAGTCCTTCAGTCACATGCCTTCTTGCTACTGTTGTCACTGGCCCTTCCTTTTAGTCCACTGCTGCGTCTGCCTTAGTTGTTGAGCTTGTCGACTTCGCTGCTCGCTGTCGTCTAGACTACGCTGCGAGTCTGGTTGCTGAGCCAGAGTCTGTCTGTCCTCCGTCTGTCGGGGGTGAGTGTGCTTTTAGCACGGACGTCCTTGAGGATAGGCAGGAGGAGTTCCAGTGCTTTGATGCTGCTTTGCCCCATCTCGTCTCTACACTGATTGCCCCTGAGGGAGACCCGGATGCACCAGACATCCCGACTCCTCGATCGTATGCTGAGGCGATCGAGGGTCCTTACTCCTCTCAGTGGCTATCAGCCATGGACGCAGAGATGGCTGCCTGGAAGTCCACAGGCACCTACGTTGACGAGGTTCCCCCACCTGGGGCGAACATTGTCAGTGGCATGTGGATTTTCAGGGTGAAGCGGCCGCCGGGTTCTCCGCCTGCCTTCAAGGCGCGTTACGTGGCTCGAGGCTTCAGTCTGCGGCAGGGAGTTGACTACTTTCAGACCTTCTCTCACACCTCGAAGATGACCACTCTTCGGGTGCTGCTGCACATAGCCGCTCAGTGCGACTACGAGCTTCACTCTCTTGACTTCAGCACAGCTTTCCTGCAGGGCAGCCTGCACGAGGAGATCTGGCTGCGCCGCCCACCTGGCTTCACTGGGTCGTTTCCTCCTGGTACCCAGTGGAGCCTCCGGCGGCCAGTCTACGGTCTCCGCTAGGCACCCTGTCAGTGGCACGACACACTGAGGACTACACTTGCGGCTCTTGGGTTTGCTCCTTCTACAGCTGACCTGTCGTTGTTTCTGCGCACCGACACCTCTTTGCCGCCGTTCTACATCCTCGTGTACGTCGATGACTTGGTCTTTGCCACTGCTGACACTGCTGGACTCGCCTACGTGATGTCCGAGCTGCAGAAGAGACACACGTGCACAGACTTGGGTGAACTGCGCAGCTACCTTGGCTTGTAGATCACCCGGGACAGAGCACAGCACACCATTACCGTGACTCAGTCACACATGGTGCAGCAGGTCCTTCAGCGCTTCGGCTTCACGTACTCCTCGCCTCAGGCCACTCCTCTGTCTACTCACCACTCGCTCTCAGCTCTGCCTTCGGATGAGTCTGTAGAGTCGAGTGGTCCGTACCTAGAGATTCTTGGCCGCCTCATGTACCTGATGACCCGCACACGACCTGACCTTGCATACCCTCTTAGCATCTTGGCACGCTATGTTGCTCCTGGGAGACACCGACTAGAGCACATGGGTGTAGCGAAGAGGGTGTTGCGCTACGTGTGCAGTACGTCGGGTATGGGGCTAGTGCTTGGAGGGCGACGTCAAGTGGTCCTCACAGGTCACGCAGACGCTTCTTGGGCTGACGACCAGGCTCTGTAGCGGTTGTCACAGGGTTACACCTTCAGCCTTGGCACCGGCTCTGTTTCGTGGCGGTCTACCTGCTCGTCCTCTGTTCTGGGCTCCAGCTGTGAGGCTGAGATCTACGCAGGGGCCATGGCTGCACAGGAGCTACGCTGGCTCACCTACTTGCTGACTGACCAAGGAGAGCCGCCTCGTTCTCCTCCAGTTTTGTACGTAGACAACAAGGCCATGCTGGCCTTGTGTCGGGAGCACAGACTAGAGCACAGAACGAAGCACATCGCTCTCTGCTACTTCCTGGCTCATGAGCTGCAGCAGCGTGGTCAGCTCCGCCTCACCTACGTGGCCTCTGGGGCCAACACTGCTGATATCTTCACCAAGGCCCTTCCGCCTTGTGATCATCAGGGCTTTTGTACTTTGCTAGGTCTTATGCCTACCTGGCCTCACTTGCTCACTTCTTGATCTTGTTTGTGTAGGCTGTAGTAGGGTAGCCCATAAGGGGTACAACCCAATTAGGGTTAGTACTTGTACCCAACTCTTTCAGAGTTCTATCATTCTCTCGTTCTCATCTTCACATTACTTTCAAGATCATGAGTATGCCATTCAGTGCTTAAAGGCCCTTCCATGTCTAGTTCATCTTGGACTACAAGACTGGGATACAGCGGCGAGGGTTGAGAGGGAAATCCCTCATGTGAATGTTACTATCAAATGCCAGTTTGAGCAGTAGTTTGCATAGGTGTGTTATAGATGCAACATTGGAAGAAAATCAATAGCAAAAATGTAGCATACAATTTCTTTTTTGTTTTAGTGTTAGAAATACTTCCAAAAACTCTACCTTTGCTATTCATCAGTCTTGAGTTTCCGTGGCATGTCAATAAAAATTAAGCACACCCTTGACTTCCTTTATGTATAGAGGACAATTGGCTACTGTGCTGCGCCTATCCCTGACCTCTTGGGCATATGTGCAATACACGGCACAACCACTGCCTTCTTTGGCCGCTCCTCTCTGATCCTCCCTCCCACTCCTCCATCCCACCTGTCCTGTGCCTGACTGCGCCTCAACAGCATGAGATGCAGACGAAGCAGTTGGAAGCGATGTCTCTGCTAATGCATCAACGCTACCTCCCCTCGATTGTGACTACTGCTGTGATGGTGCGAGAAACAAGACGAATGCGAAATTGCGGGTTGCAAGAGCCGTATTTAAGTGACATTAGGAATAGGATTGGAAGAGGCGCAAGCATGAGGGATAGAAGGGGCGGGGAAGAAGGACCCTGGTTTTGTGACTTTGTGGCCTGCATGAGGCATTATGGGCGAGGTGCAAGCGACTCGGGGAGTTGGGCAGGGGGAGATGCGAGGGACTGGGGGAGTTGGGCAGGGGGAGATGCGAGGGACTAGGGGAGTTGGGCAGGGGGACATGCGAGGGACTGGGGCAGTTGGGCAGGGGGAGATGCGAGGGACTGGGGCAGTTGGGCAAGTTGAGATGCGAGGGACCGTCGGCCGCCCTCACGTCGCGCTCCCTTAGCGGCCCCTCTCATGGCCCCTCGTGTCCCACCCCTTAGCGGCCCCGTCGCCGCCCTTTGCGGCCCCGTCGCCGCCCTTTGCGGCCCCGTCGCCGCCCTTTGCGGCCCCGTCGCCACTCCTCTAGGCCCCTCACGGCCCCTTCGCGGCCCCGTCGCCGCCCCTCTAGGCCCCTCGCGGCCCCTTCGCGGCCCCGTCGCCGCCCCTCTAGGCCCCTCGCGGCCCCTTCGCAGCCCCGTCGCCGCCCCTAGCGGCCCCGTTGCCGCCCCTCTAGGCCCCTCTAGGCCCCTCGCGGCCCCTCTGCGGCCTCGTCGCCGCCCCTATCGGCCCCGACGCCGCCCCTAGCGGCCCCGTCGCCGCCCTTCGCGACCCCGTCGCCACCCCTAGCGGCCCTGTCGCCATCCTTCGCGGCCCCGTCGCTGCCCTCTAGCGGCCCTGTCGCTGCCCTGTTAAAAGACTGAGCTAGGCTAAGGAGCCATGGCTAGGTAGAACGAGAATGAGTATCGAGCAAGTTGAGTTGGGAGAGAATGTCGAGAGTGAAGTGGTTCAATAAAGAGCAAAGGTACAAAGATATAGGCAAGAACTAGGGTAATGTGGCGCACCACCAAACGGGAAACATAACTACACTAACACTACAGACAATTATATAAATATGAATAACATATTTCGACATGCCCTTCTCGGCCCCTTCAGCCGCCCGGAAGCCGAGCCGCCCAGCAGCCGAGCCACCGAGCCGCCGAGCCGCCCAGCAGCTAAGCCGCCCAGCAGCCGAGCCGCCCAGCAGCCGATCCGCCGAGCCACCGAGCCTCCAAGCTGCCGAGCTGCCCAGGAGCCGAGCCGCCGAGCTGCCGAGCCGCCCAGTAGCCGAGCCGCCCAGCAGCCGAGCCGTCGAGCCACCGAGCCGCCGAGCCGCACACTAGCCGAACCGCCCAGCCGCCGAGCTGCCGTCGAGCCGCTACTGTTCCTTCCGACGAGCACCGTCCCTACCCGCCCGACTTGGTGATAGCACTCCCTGCTAGACTACTGCTGTCATGGCTACCCCCAGTGTCCTTACCTTTGATGCTGAGGGTCGTGCTGTTGACTTTGAGGTCTGGGTCGATGACCTCCAGCTCTTCCTCTAGTGCGATAGGGCAGACGGACTCTCCCTGTTTGATCTCACCTCTGGTGCTTCTCCTGCCCCGCCTGCTACTGCTGACAGCACTATTCGCTCACAGTGGGCCACACGCGATGCTGCTGCCCATCTTGCTGTGCGTCGCCACTTACCGACCGCTGAGCGTGCGCACATTAGTCATTACAAGAGTGCTAAGATGCTGTAGTTGCACGCTACTCTTCCCCTGCCACTGCTGCTCTTAGCCGCCTCATGCTGCCGTACTTGTTCCCTGACCTTGCTGCCTTTCCCACACTCGCTGACCTCATAACGCACCTTCGCACTAGTGACACTCGCTACCGCGCTGCGCTTCCTGCTGAGTTCTGCGCCAAGAACCCCCCCCAATGTACATCACCCTCTACTACATAGTCACCCGGCTCCCTGACTCCCTTCGCTTAGTCAGGGACCACTTCCTCTCAGTTTGCCCCACCACACTCACCGTTGACCTCCAAGAGGAGCGCCTCCTAGCAGCAGAGAAGAGCATAGTCGCTGTAAGAGCCTCTCGTGGTGACCCTCGCACCCCCGTCTTTGAGGGGTGTTCCCCCTCCCCCCTCTTGCCCTCTGTTGCTTCTACTGCTGCGGCCGACCTCGTTGGTTTCAAGTCGATCGGCGCTGCGTCTGCCTCTAGTGGGAGACACCGCACCGGCAATGGCAAGGGGGGCAAGGGCGCTGGAGGGGCTGGCGGGGGCGGTGGAGGTGGTGGTGGAGGCAGTGGAGGGGGTGGGGGTGGTGGTGGGAGTGGTGGCGGGGGTGGAGGTGTCGGTGGCAGCAGTGGAGGCGGAGGAGGCACCGGCGGTGGCAGAGGGAGCGGAGGCGGCGGTGGTGGCAGAGGCGGCGGAGGTGGCATAGGCGGCGGCGGCGGCGGCGGTGGAGCTGGTTGCGGCTCTACGCAGAGGAGTGGTTCCGGTGTTGGTCCGCGCCAGCAGCAACAGCACAGTCGTGAGACCCCATCCCACCAGCAGCTTCGTGTGTGGTACACTGGGCGTCAGCGAGGTGGGGGTACTGGTCCCTGCACCTACGTCCTCCGTACCGACGACTGCACTGGTGAGTAGTGCGGGGGCCCGCACTCCACCCAGCGCTGCTTCGGCCGCCTGACGGACGCGTGGCGTCACCAGTTCCCTCACGCCACTAAGATCCCTCGCTGGGGAGAGCTGTCTAGGGCGGGGGCTTCTATCTTTGATCTTGATTATGATGCTATTCTTGCTGCCATGTATGCTGTATCTACTAGTCATGAGGGTGACTGTTACCTGTGTGTTCCGCCTGACCCGGGCATTGAGGCTGCTGCTCTAGGTGCTGGTGAGGCTGCTGCTCTAGGTGCTAGTGCGTCTGCTGGCCCAGGTGCTGGTGAGTCTGCTCTCTTGGGTACCACGTCGGCTCAGGCCTTACACACCTTCACCCTTGACTTGGGAGCTTCCCGCTCCTTCTTTCGAGACCGCACCACGCTTACGCCGCTTAGTCGGCCAGTTGCGGTCTCCCTGGCGGACCCCTCTGGGGGTCCTATCCTTGCTCGCTTCTCCACTCTCTTACCGTGTCCGTCAGCCCCCTCTTGCACCCTGTCAGGTCTCCACCTCCCCTCGTTCTCTACGAACTTGGTGAATGGAGCTGATCTACAGGATGGGGGGGTTGACCAGTTCACTCCTGCGAGTCAGCGGGTGACCCACTGTACGTGTGCTCGGACGGGCCGACACTTGGCCATGTTTACCCGTCGGCCGGGGTTGAGCCTGTACACACTAACTACCGAGTCTCCTTCAGTTGCTGAGTCTGGTCATATAGCTGCGTCGACTCACGTGTTTGCTGCAGCGTCCAGGTCTGGTCCCGAGTCTGCTCCCTGCTCGTGTCGTCTCCTGTCCCACTAGACTATCCTTTGGCACCACCGCCTTGGTCACCCCTCTCTGCCTCGTCTCCAAATGGCCTCCCGTATCCTTGTCTCTGGTCTCCCCCGGTCCCTCCCTCCCCTCCCTCCAGGGCCTGCCCCTACCTGCGTTCTCTTCGTCGAGGGGCGGCAGCGCGCCTCCCCTCACTCCTCCGATTTCCCTTGACAGAGGCTCCAATGCCGACTCTTCACATGGACGTGTGGGGCCCCGCTCGCGTCCATGGCCAGGGTCACGAGCGTTACTTCCTGTTGGTGGTTGACGACTACTCATGTTACACCACGGTGTTCCCCTTGCGCAGCAAGGGTGACGTCACTGAGGTGTTGATCGACTGGATCCGCGCAGCTCGTCTCCAGCTCAGAGAGAGTTTCGGCTCGGACTTTCCTATCCTGTGTTTGCACTCTGACAGAGGCGGGGAGTTTTCCTCTGCCCGTCTGGGAGCCTTCTGTCGTGCCCAGGGCATCCGCCAGACCTTCATGCTTCCGGCCTCTCCACAGCAAAATGGGATTGCTGAGCGCCGCATTAGCATGGTCATGGACGTCGCTCGTACGTCCATGATCCATGCGGCTGCCCGCCATTTTTTGTGGCCGTTTGCGGTTCAGTACACAGCGCATCAGCTCAACCTTTTGCCCCGGGTCTCCTTGCCAGAGACTTCCCCCACGATGCGTCTGCGTTTCGGGTCTTGGGATCTCGGGCGTTTGTCCGCGACTTGTGTGCGGACAAGCTGTCCCCCCGTGCTGTTCCCTGCGTCTTTCTTCGCTTCCCCCCTGACGCGCCTGGGTGGCAGTTTTACCACCCCACCTCGCGACGTGTTCTGTCCTCTCAGGACGTCACGTTTGAAGAGTCGGTGCCTTACTACCGTCTCTTCCCCTACCGCACTGCGCCCCTCCCCCCGCTGCCGCTCTTCCATGCGCCAGGTCCTCCCCGAGTAGACCCTCTCCCCCCTCAGGGTCCTGCCTCGTCACGTGTGTCCCAGGTAGACGTAGTCGAGCCTGTCGAGGTACATGTTGACTCTGGTGCTGTTGGAGGTGCTGAGCCTGCTGGTGCCGGGTCTTGAGGTACTGAGTCTGAGGGTGCGAAGCCCGGGGGTGCTGAGTCTAGGGGTGCTGAGCCTGGGGGTGTTGAGTTTGGGGGTGCTGAGTCTGGGGGTGCTGAGCCTGGGGGTGCGGAGCCTGGGGGTGCTGGGTCTGCTCGTGTGACCTCTCGCGGTGCTCCGTCGAGGCGGGAGCTACTCTCTTCGCAGGAGCTGCGCGAGTGGTTTGCCCGGCACTGGAGTCGTGCTGCTAGAGCTGGAGGTGCTACTGTTGCTGCTGGTCCTGGAGGTGCTCGTCTTGACGGTACTGGAGCTGCTGGGACTGGGGGTGCTGCTGGAGCTAGTTCTGCTGGACGTACTGCTGGAGCTGGTGGCGGTACTGGAGCTGCCGGTCCTGCAAGAGTAGGTGCTGATGGAGTTGCTGGAGCTAGAGCTGCTGGGGCTGTTGGCGCTAGAGGTACTGCTGGTGCCGTTGCTTCAGTTGGTGCCGGAGTTGGCGCTGTTGGAGCTGAAGGTGCTGCTGGCGCTGGTGCTTCTGAGGGTGCTGGAGTTGGCGCTGTTGGAGCTGGAGGTGCTGCTGGCGCTGGTGCTGCCACTGCGGGTACTGGTGCTGTCCCTGCTGGATCTGGAGGCGCTGCGCGGCCGCGACCGTTTTTCATTCCGCTCCTTGAGCAGGTTCTTGGTCTCCTGCCCTCTACTGGTCCTGCTCCTTCCTTAGTGTGTTCATCGTCTGTCCAGTCTGAGTCACTGTTACAGCCCGCCTCCCCCTTGCCTGCTCCTTCTCCCTACACTGGAGGTCTTGCTGAGCGTCGTGATCATGCGTCTCGTCCTGCGTCGCCTGTTCGTGCTGCTCGCACTAGTAGTCGTGCTCCGCGTCCGCGTCCTCTTGTGGTCCCAAGCACACACCAGATGGCACTACGTCCTTCCACTGCTCCTCTGCGTGTCCCGTTGCTGTCTCCTCCAGAGTCCTCTCTTCCAGTTCTTGCTGACCCGGAGTCTGATTCTCTTCGTGTTGCCAGTCCTACTGTCACGCGTCTCCTCGCCACTGTTGTCACTGACCCTTCCTTTGAGGCCACTGCTGCGTCTGCCTTAGTTGCTGAGCTTGTCGACTTTGCTGCTCGCTGTGGTCTAAACTACGCCACTAGTCTGGTTGCTGAGTCAGAGTCTGTCTGTCCTCCGTCCGTCGGGGGTGAGTGTGCTCTTGGCACGGACGTCCTTGAGGACAGGCAGGAGGAGTTCCATTTTTTTGCTGCTGCTTTGCCTCATCTCGTGTCCACGTTGATTGCCCCTGAGG